ATGGGGAAGGCCACCAGGAAAGCCAAGACCCCACTAAGTAGGAATCCAATCCACCACGCCCCCACCCACCGTGGACTGTTGGGGGTCAGATTTATACTGCAGAAAACAAAGAATATCTTATATATCTCAACACATCTCAAAATATTGATTCTTCTTAATCTCAGCAATTCTAATCAATCTACATTAAAAGAATATTCAAAAGAATAATTTCATTTTGGCCCCATTAATGTAAATTAATGTAGTCCACTTGTAGTAAAAAGAAACTTATTTTCATCACAGTGAAAAGTTGTTTTTTTTTTAAATAGTCAGCATTACCTTGCTTGGTCCACTGTGTCAACATCTACATAGATGTTAAGGAATGCTCCCCCTGCAAGGTATCCTATAGCTGGTCCCACGATAGCAAACGCATAATATATACCTGGAAAAGGTATTTAAACTAGAAACTCTTGTTGCTATAGCAACAAAAAAGGTCTTCCGTTCTCCTCTATTTATCTGTATGAATGAGCTTTTATCTATGTTAAAAAGGCAGATAATATTTACAATGATTACAGGAAAACAAACGGCCGGAGGTATAACTCACTAAAATTCTTGACGTTACTTTAGACAGTTTTAGTCTTAATAACATTTATAAAAAATCATTTTCAATTTTTTAGCACTTCCTGTGATGACTGGAAGTGACAGAGGACGCATTTTACCCTATATCTGTTACCCAATCTTCACAAGTTTAGTGCCTTGGTCTGTTACATTTTAAGAAATCTCGTAATGTTAACTTCTCCTTTTGAGGACAAGAAATCACGTGACCGCGAGTAAATTTTAAAAAAGATATTTTACGTTACTTTAGACTTTTGCAGTCTGAATAACATGTCCTAAAATCATTTCAAATACTCCTTTTATAAAAAATATTTCTGGAATAGTATGATACTCAATTTATGCATTTTTTTCTCTCATAACTGGAAGTTGTCGTTTTTGTTTCTACTGGGACTGACATATTTCGAAATAACAAATAAGATGCTGTAATAAAATATTAAGAAAGATTCCACAAAGAAAAGTTGAATTTTTTGATATATTTGATCACTTCATGTGACAACCGGAAGTGACTGCGGACGATGTTAACTCAAATCGATTTCTCTACTCAGCATAATCTACCATTCCTATTCCTTTGGTGTCTTAATCTCTTACCGTTTACGAAATCTAGCCATGATAACTTCTTAGTTTTAGGACAGAAAATCACGCGACTGGAAGTGAATTTTATAGAGATATTTGAGGTAACTGTAGATATATTGAATCTGAATAACATACCCAAAAACCGTTACACACTTTATATATAAATAATATATATTTGAAAGAAAAATACTCAAATTATGTAGTTTTTCTCTTATAACCGGAAGTTGTCGTTTTTGTTTCCGGTGGGTCTGATATATTTTGAAACTAGAAATAAGATGTTATCAGGTGATGCAATAAACTTTCCATAAAAGAAAAGTTGAAATTTTCGATTTCTTTGACTACTTCCTGTGACGACCGGAAGTGACGGCGGACAATCTTAACCCACACAGTTTTGCCTACTCATCAAGATCTACCATTTCTATAAGTTTGGTGTCTTCATCTCTTACCATTTACGAGATCTCTCTATGATAAGTTCTCATTTTGAGGACAGGAAATCACTTGACCGGAAGTGAATTTTAAAAAGATATTTGACGTTACTGTAGACATTGGCAGTCTGAATAACATATCAAAAAATCATTTCAAATACTTTATCTATAAAAAATATTTATGGGAAAGAAAAATACTCAAATTATGTAGTTTCTCTCTTATAACCGGAAGTTGCCGTTTTTGTTTCCGGTAGAACTGACATATTTCAACAGTACGAGTAAGATGCTATAATGTGATGCAAAAAAAATTTCAAAAAAGAAAAGTTGAAATTTTCGATATTTACGAACACTTCCTGTGACGACCGGAAGTGACGGTGGACAATCTTAACCCAAATGGATTTGCCTACTTATCAAGATCTATCATCCCTGTAAGTTTGGTGCCTTAATCCCTTACCGTTTCTGAGATCTCACTCGGATTAAATATTTTTGAAAAAAGCGGAAATCGGACATATCTGACGACCGGAAGTGAATTTTCAAAAAATGAAAAAAACGTCTCGGGGTATTTTCATTTTCTATCATCCCTGAAAATTTCAGGAAAATCCGTCCAGCCATCTCTGAGAAATCCTGCCGACAAGATTTGGGGAAAAAAATAATAATAAGAATAAGAAAAAACAGTAGAATCACTATAAGGTCTTCCGTCTGAAACGGAAGACCTTAATGAAGAGTTATAAGGAATGTATAGAATGCTAATTACGTTATGTTAATTACATGTAAATTACATTTAACTTTACATCACTGACCCTCTATCAAATAAATGGACAAGGAATCAGACAGTAATGAAATCTTGAACACAAATAATCAATTTTAGCAGAATTTAGTTAGCAAGATTCATATTTAAGACATATTCAATATCTGTACCCTTGATACCTGATTTCACACTTTAATTTTCACAGACAATTACCTATATACATGGAGGACGATCTGACAGGCAGATTCTCGTCCAGATATGTGACTCCCAGGGTGTAGAGGGGCGATGCCCCTGCACCATGTAGTAGCTGCCCGAGGAAGAAGACATATTTGTAGTTAGAGAGGCTATCCTTGCTGGTACATGCCGTGACATTGGCCCCGATATCACAGTACGTCACATCATCTCCCGTAAACGAGTACAGCCCCGTAGTAAACTGAGGTAGTGCAAAGACGATAGATCCTAGGCCCATAACCAGGATACCTATACCTACAAAATAACAGATGTAACATTGATAAGGTTATTCACAGGTCCCCAGAACTTCACTATAATTGAGTTTTACTCTAAAAGGTTCCATAAACTATAGGTAAAAATGAGTTTTCGTTCACAGGGATGTATAATTATGGCTTATTGGTGCTGCATAAAATTCTTGAACAAATATGCTACACACACCAGTGATGATTCCTGAAAGTTAATCTATAATGGTAAGGATGTTAATTGCCATTCTCTGTAACCACTTAAACTTCGTTGCCACGCATGGTCACCGATTTTGATGAAACTTCACCCATGCTTAGTACTTGACACCAGAAACAAATATCAAACAAAATTTCGTTGCTAAGTGTCTCGGTTGCTATGGCAACAGCCGGAAAAGTTTGAAAAATTGAGATTTTCAGCCACTTTAAATCCTGACTGTGGCTTAATAAAAACTAGAAAAAGCAAACAAACCATTCTAACAAAAACATGACACCTTGATGCCACTTATACTGTAAAGAAACTGTTTAGAATATATCTCTAAGTAAGTGGTAACCAAGGGTACATTTGGAATACATTTAAAATGCTGAAATATGCTGAAAAACACTCCATATTCACTAATGGTAGGTGTTACATGCTAAAACTCAATCATCGACTTAAGAAAAACAATGAAAATGTTTGATTTTAAGTATATAAGTATAAGCAATATTATTCTATAAATAAATTTTATGGTTGCCATGGTAACACAGTGTAACTGTGCAAAACCAGTAACTAAGATTGGTCTAATGCTACTGTCTTGAGGAAAAACATGAAAATTCAAGACTGGCAAATATGCATCCTTAGGACCTTGCAACACCAAAACCATAAGAAAAATTGGGTAAAATTGCTACTTTGCAGTGTTACCATGGAAACAAAGTACCAGTGCTTAAAAGTAAATTATTTTTCACTGCATTAAGAATTAAATTGCCATATAATCAAGAAACAAATTAAAGGATTCAGCTTGAATAGTACTTATCTGTTAGAACTGAAGTTGAATATCATATATTGATAAAAGTTGATGAAGAAAACAACACTGTTGCTATGGTAACCAAGAAGGGAAAATGTTCAATTTTGTGAACTTTATATCAATATTAAACCCTGTGTGCCAACTTCTTGCATCCACTTAGAGATTGGATGATAGTCAAAATTAAAAGTCAGGTTAGCTGTTAATAAATATCAATCATAAAAGTTTTGGGAATCTACACTTAAGGGTATGTATCCAAGGAAAGAAAATATTTTTCAGGTTTTTAAGCATATATTTTCTGCTTATCTCCATAGCAACGCTCTATTTAAAGAATCTAATCTGAATTTTTTCAAATGGGAAAAATAGGAGCACACCAACATCTTTGAAAATTGATCATTAGTTATGAGGAAATGTGCTTTTTTAAAAGATAGGTTCAGATTTAAACAAACAGAGTGTTACTTTGAAGGCTCTCTGTGGTGTAAAAACCTTGGCAACCATTGCCAACCAAAATGAAATATCATATTTTGTTCTTGGTATATGTTTCAAGGCTCTTTTTTCTATTATCTGGTCACATTTCATCCTATAATTGCTTTTTATTTTTACGTTTATGTCTTTATGAAATTTAATGAATATTTTTTTTTACTTTTGAATACTTTGTTACCATAGTAACGTATGTAATAGTTGATTTACCAAACATGTTTATCATGCATTTGAGACATCTGACCTTCAACTTTTGGAAACAGTCATTGCCAATTGTTTGCTTTGCCGCAAATGTTAACTATGGGGCTCTAATCATGTTAAAAAATGCTATTTTTCGAACTTTAAGACATGTTGCCATGGTAACTATAAAACATAGCAACCAATTTTTGCCTGATTTCAGTTCAGGGTATCAATGACTTTTATCATAGTATCAATGACTTTTATCATAGAGAGTTTGGAGAAATTCTGAAACTATGCGTGCCACAGCTCCTATATAAAATTTCAAATCATTACAGAGAATGGCTCTTAATTCCTTTATAATCCCCCCTCCCCTAATTGCGTGGACCCTGCGGTCCACGCAGTAAATATATAAGCGAAGTTAAACTGGATGCCCTGGGCAAACGACAGGCTACACATGCACGAGAATGCTAGAGAGTTCGCACTTTAGGTAACTTGCCCGTAGAATAATTCGCCCCATTTGCATGAAAATTTTGCCATTCATTGGCAAATCGCGCTTTTAAATCTGCATATCGCATTTACATATTCATTGCCAGATCCGTTTTTCTCTCTTTTACATAAACTTTTATATACAAACTAAACATTGATTCTATGGTACAAGCACTTTAAGAAGTTACGGTATATAGATAAATGTAACTTAACAACTTGAATGAAAAACATCACTCAACGAATAGAGATAGCTTTTAAAATATAGAGCAAGTTTTCACCGGCAATTAGTTTTGTGCATCAAGGCTCGCAAAATAATTTAATATTTCAGCAATCTAAATATCGTTTGGTAAAGGTCTGTAGCAACAGCTTTTAATGTGTGTTTTGGGGGGAGGGGGTTGACCAAAAAAATTCTGCGTACTACAGCTGTGCTACTCGTGAACCATCAGATCTCCATTTTTCCCATGATGAATTTCCTCCGTATTAATCCAGAACAGTATGAATTACACGTATCAAAATAACCCGATTTTTTAATCTGACAAAAACTATATAAAGGTCGCTAATCGCAGATAAAATTTCACAATTTTGCTTTGAGACTACAATCTGTTTTAAGTAGGCAGATCTTTGTAGTAAAAGTGAAAAAACCTACATGAATATTCCCTACACCTAGAAATTTTCTTAATTGAATATCAGTTTGAAAAAACATGCATATGGTCCACGTATTGCAGTCCTTTTTTAAAGGACAGCAACTTGTTTTTTTTATTACATAAATCAATCAAGGAAAATGAACAGTCATCTAGGCCATCTCCCTAAATGGAACGCTACAGCATTTAAACATTCTCTCACACAAGACTTTCAAAAAGATCTAGATAAAAGATGACCACATCTGATTCACGTTCCTAAAGATAACAGCAATTCTTAGTAATCTAATTATACACAGGTGAAAACTTGTATATGGACTTTAGACATGCACCTTATAAGAGTTCACCCTAAGTTTATTATCATATTATACAGGGTATAATGAGAAAAGTGACTTGTGCAATTGAAATGCAATGCAATACACCTGAGGTTTATGAGTAATCAGAATCAGGACTACCCTGCAATCTTTGCTTTCATTCTCTATGTTATAAGGTAAAGGTAGGCTGCTCATTCCAAGAGGATCCTTATAGGATTCAACCCTAAGTTTATCATCATAATACACATCAGCGGAGCAGAAAAGTGACTTGCATGCTGCATAACTGAAATCGATTCAATACACCTGAGGTTTATCCTCAACCTGAATCAGGTACCCTACTTTCTGTGCCTTCATTCTATGTGATTCTACATGACAAGGATGGCTGCTCAATCTGGGAGGACCCTAATTATCACACCTCTGGCCCTGCTCCTGCTGGACATAGATGATCATCTTACAGAGTCTGAACTGTCCAAAGTCAAGTTACTGCTAGAAGTCAGCGGCCACATAAGGCAAAGGGAGGGACAAGCTCTAAAGAACATGGCCGACCTGCTGAAATTGATGTTTCACAAGGAGTTAATACGTGAAGATGACCTAACCCTGTTGATAGAAATACTGGGGCGCATTCATCGCCAGGACTGTATCAAAAGAATTCATAAATACCAAGAGGAGCAAGAAAACCTCAAGATGAAATTGGAGATACGGGACCTCTACAAAATAGAGGATTTCAATGATGATTCTGAAGTTAGATTGCGGAAATCTAAAGATGGGGCGATTCTGAGGAGGGATTTTAGCTCAGATGTATCCTGGAGGCCCTCCTCAAGCAATTGTATAACTTTAACTGGATATTTTGATGAGGTGGACACCCAAAGTAACCATAGTGATGAAGACAAAATAAGAAGAAAATCGTCTTTCATTTGAGTGACTTCCAAAATTGTTCATGCATTAAATAGTGCTTTATACAAGAACATGTGAATCATGCACCATGACCCTATCATTATCATTTGACAAAATTACAGGTATTTAAAGTACCTGTTTCTATTCATTGCATGATTTAAATATAGACTACAGGGAAATTCATTTCCAAAATTCCCTCAGAGACACAGTCATCATGGGAGATGAACGTAAAATATCAAAGTTTGCTCAACTCCTGCTAAATATTTCACTGAAGCTGACACTGGAAGACTTGTCCAACATCAAACTTCTGCTGGAGGTGGACAAAATCTTAACTCAAAGAGAAACAGCCAGATGTCAAACCTCAGCAGACATTCTTAGGTTGCTGCACTCAAGAAAAATAATTCAGAAGAGGCACCTTCATTACCTATCAGAAATCTTGGGAATGATTAATCGCAAAGACTGTGTCAAACTAATCAAGGAATTCAGTGGACCACAGGTGGAGAAAGAATGTGACAGTTACTTTATAAGTGATACTGAAGTATACAATATGTTAACATTAATTGATGCTGAAGTACAATTGTCGATTGACCTCAGAGAGATCTGAAAAAATTAGGTACTGATCAGTGCAATGGGAGTATTGTGATTTTGTAAGCTTAATATCATGTTGCTCAACTGAATTATTCCTTTGGAATCAAACTGAACTAAGTACAAACTAGTGTTCCTGCTTATCCAGATCAGAAGTGTTTGGGGTGTACTTCGACCACTTATTATATCATAGTGGTTTAATTAAGAAATAAACAACAATGTTAAAAAGTTCCCTGGGAAATGAACTAAGTTAGTCACATGATCAAATCCTGTGAAGCCCGGAGACCGAAGGGCTTCTCAGTAGATTTGATCACGTACCAACTAAGTTCATTTCCCAGTGAACTTTTTAACATTGTTGTTTATTACTTATATTTACATTTGAGACAAATACATGCATTTTGAGTTAAATTGCATTTATTACACGAACAAAATATCACCTCGCTCTGTGATTCGGTCGCGCTATGACCTCTGACCCCCAAATAACATTCACACAGAATTGAACATATTTTCTCTTCAATAGGTTTATCTAAGAAAGATATTTGCAAATGTAAATATTAGGCATTATAGATGGGAGATAGACTTCAGAATAATACCTATCATCCAGAGACTTGTGGATTTTATTACATTGATGTTAAGGGTATTTAAAGGAGCTTCTAGTTGTAACTTTGTTATATATAATCATTCAGTATTTCTTGTTTACTTATATTATTGATGCACTATACACTGTATTTTATTGCCATGCAAACAAATGGTGTCACTTTATTACTTATCTACATGAACTTGTAGGATACCTATGAACAGGCAGTGAGGGATGGTGATTCTGAAGAAGTTTTATATTCATTTTTCATTTTTATCTAAGCTACCAAATTACGTCTGAAATTTTCTGGCTTGTTTTTGGTTTTATGACAAATATCATATATTAGGCATCTACAATTAATCGTATAAAGGATATAGCTATGTGAATAAATAGTTTATCATTTTACAATTCATAAGTTGTTAAATAAAGTTATCAATGTCATCATGGTCATCAAATACTTATGACTGTTACTTCAATGTTATGTTCATGCACAATTGTGATTTAAAAGTTAATGCTTTATTTGATGACATGTTTTCTAACTTGAATGTGTACTTAATACTGTTGTGTTTGTATTACATGTATTGTCCTGTATTATAGATATAACAACATTAGATTTGTGTTTATTGTCTGGTTGTTCTTAAATTTTTTTTAGCACATATATCATATACAATCTATAGCTCTTATCTTATATGTCCTGAAAAGGATAATTTTTGCAGTATTATTTTCTTTGTGTAATTAAAAATGTACATAAAGTAGTTTGGAATAGTTCAGTCAAGAATATATAAGGTTCATTTTGCTGCTCATTTTATCAGGATCAATCTTGTTAATTAGCATACATTTAACATGTACATGATTATTCACTCAGACTGGGTCAGTTGGATGGACTTAAGTGTCAAACCCTGGTCATTTTTTCAAGAGGTGCATTGTGGGATATGTGTGCGTATTTCCAGTGTAAATTTCATACTGCAATATATACAATAATTTAATTTGTTTTAGCTCACCTGAGCTAAGGGTTCAATAGAGTCCAAAGAGAGACAGAAAGATAGACAAAGTGATTTCAATAAGGTGTGAATCCTTGCGATTTGCTTCAAATAGAAGTGAGAACATTCATTTGTAATAGACTACCTAGATATCGAGGTTTACATCCCAGGCCTCCAAAGTAGCTGACGGGGATGAGACACAGGACTGAGGCGATGTCGTAGCAGCTGGCGATGGTTCCCGTCTCCGTACTGGTCAGGTCGTACCGCCGCTCAATGTTAGAAATCACCACATTCACAAAACCATTCACCACCATTCCCTGGAGAGAAAAAATTCAATCATTAACATCTATACATTGCAAGTATATATGTCTAAAATTAGATAACTTAAATATACATACCCCATATACCTTTCTTTATAAATCACATGAAATCTACATCACAGGTGTCAAGACAAGCAAATCTGATTTTATAATATGAGTACCTGAAAATGCACTAGTTGCCTTGTTGTTCTTGAAATTCAAAGATTTGATAATTTAAAAAAATATGAAGTGAAGAAACCCGTATCTTCTCTATATAGGGATGCTAAATTCTCTTATTGATTTGACTTCAAAAATTATGATTCAACAGTCTGCTCATGAAAGGAAGAATTTAAAATTTCAAATGAAATCCTATTCACATCCCTTTTTAAACTTTTGTAGTAACACCCTAGCTCAGGGGGTTTCATGATTTGAACAAATTGAGTCTGCATGCACTCAATAAGGAAGACTTCACTTTCATCAGATTTAAAACTATTGAATTCATCAATACCAAAGATAAGACCACAATTTACAGTTATAAGATAAGATAAGATTTATTAATACCAATTTGGGGCCCATCAGGGCTTACAAGTAAAGAGAAAAACATACAAGAAGAAATTCAAAACTGATAGTAGCAACTAACAAAAGATTAATGATGATATATAATAAACATTTCATCCGATATGTAATTTTTAAAGTATATTTCAACAAAAACAGAAAAACCAAATACAATTCTTGGTGTAAATAGTTGTAAAGATGGAAAAATTGCTTTGCAATCTGACCTAAAATAAAATCACTGATATTTGGTAAAATGGATAGTTAATTTCATCAGTAGAACAGAACACCATAAGCAGAATGCAACATGCAGAAAATGAAATATTGATTTAATACCAAGTTACATCAGAAATCCCTAATAGGCGAAACAAGACAGTTGTAAAATGATCTGCTTCCTGCTGAATCCAGAGAATTTACACTTAGTTAGCTGTCAAGAGCTGTAATTATCTAAGTCTTTTGTGAAAATGAAACTTAGTCTAATAATTTGAGTCATTACAAAAAAGATTTGTGTATGAAACATAATTTCAGGAGAAGCTTAAATGTATGAAAAACTTATTTGCCACATAGTACATCCAATAATAATTTTAAGAGATCGTTTGAATAGCAGAAATGACTTAACTGCCCTTAGAAGATATTTGTAATCTTTGTCTAGAAATCTAAACGAAAACATTAACAATCTGATTCTGCTGAATTGGGCCATTAAAAAACAAGAGGATAAAACTATGAGATAATGAAGATGCCTCAGTAAAAATTACAGATGTGAAATTACAGAGTTTCTAATGTGATACCTTCTTATCTAAAACACTGATAAAGCAAACATATACAGGTTAATTGAAAATAAGAACTTACACAGACTGTTTGCTTTTCATTTTTTATATGTAAAACATTTATTTATAGATTTGTCTGACCCGAATGACATCAAGATAAATGCAATGTATCAAAAAAGCATATAAAGCATATAGTGCACATGGCTGATAAATCAAGTGTAAATCTGTAGGAGTCAAAAGATTACACACTTCTGGAGAATTTCAATTGTGTACATGAATGCAGTGCAGCCAACATTTTCAAATCTCAGCAAAATGACAAAAAGGACCCGTACGTCCCGCCATGTTTTATATACTGCCCTATGCTGCACACTTCTGACTAGCTTGCTAGCCCCTTAACCTTAAAGCTTCCTACCGCGAAGCATGAAATTTGACATTTGATAAAATACTACGGTGTTTACTACAGGGGTCGTCACTTTGTGATAACATCTCTCTCATGTCCCGGCACATGCTGCCTCCGACGTGAATCAGGACACATCTTCATTAACCCTGCACAACATTTCCACTTTACTATTAAATGAAGTACAAACACACTACAAAGATAATGTTTTTTTTCTTAATGCCATTAAATGAAGTGCAATTAGGTTAAAAGGATTTCAGAATCTAATTCCAGTTCAACTATTTCTTGAAAAGTATGAAAAGAAAATACACATTAGAATCTAAAAAAGCCCATCAGATAATGTACGTCTTTTAAACACAACTGCATGCTAATTTCATTTAAGTGAAGTTTTCATGTTCTCTGCTCTTGTTTATCTGACCTTTAACTTTAAAGGCTAATTATAAAACTTGTAATCTTCAGGACCTTGAACAGGACTACAACGTCAAGAAATCAATTAAACAAAACTTCAAAGAACTTGCAAATTTAGATAAATGCCCCCAAAATTTTATAATAATGTCTTTGAGTGGACTGTTTATAGGTATTTCTTGTTGACTTCATCTTTTCCAGAGCAGCTGGAAATTTAATGCTTGATCATGCAGGATATTACAAATCAAGAGGAAATTAATCCCCTGGTAATTTAACACTTGCTATAATGCTCAAGTTAAAATGATGCGGGAATTTAAAATCTGATACTTTCCACAATTTTGAGTGCATTAAAATTTTCTGAATTGCAGAAACATTTTAGTGCATTGGTAATGTGCAAATGCTAATTCAATGATTCTGTTTTAGAAATTTTGCAGTGATAAAGACATTTTACAGCATATAAATCTTGATTAGAGAAAATTCACATTGATGCTTCATCACAACTCCTATTTAAATGCTTTAAAAATACATTTAAATGGTAGGTTTTTAGTATAATTTTAAATCAGCACTTAGTGAAATTAGATTTTTTCTAAAAACCATTTCACTTAAGCTGCATATAATCTCAACATACCATATTTAAGTTCACAATCATTTGAACACTTGAGATACCTAAGAGACTCTCAAACAATGTCAAAATGTCCTTAAATTGCTCGGCTTCTTAAAATTCAGTAAATTGACTGAAACTGAATTATAATATTGTATGCTTGCATCATTGTGTTAACACCATTTTCTTCTTACTGTTCTTACTGTAGATTTCTTTCAATTTTTTTTTTAAATAACTTGTGCAGTATTTAAAATTTTCTCAATACTTGATTTAGCAATAAATTATGCCTTTTATTATTAAAAAAAAAAAGTTCGCTAATGGCTTTATTCATCAATTATTACCTGGTTCAGTTGAAATATTCTTGAAAGGATATTGCAAATATACAAAAAGGGACTAATTTCCGTTAAAGGATTGAGATCAAACCGAGATTCAGACAGAGTAATCCCCCTTGAAAAAAATACATTTCTATGGTGACCTGTGTTAAAATTTAAATTTGAAGAATGTGCTTCTTGAAATTACAAAAAAAACAAACTATTCAGCAAAGAGAGTTATTGCCCTTTATATCAAACAGGATTCAATGCTCAGGGATGTAAATTTCTTGATAATTAAGACAATATTTGATTATTTAAAATTTTTCTTTTGCTAAATAACCTATTCCATTTTCTCTGAAAAACTGAACACTTCATTTTCCACTAACAAAAACTTATCTGCTATCAGACCAAAAAAAAAAAAAAAAGATTGAATGTCATCACTGCAAAACATCAGACAAAACATCTTTGAAATATATCCCCATCAGTGTTCAAATCCCCTAGATCTCCCAGATAGATCAGAGAATATATGCCTTCACAGAAATATGTTCATTATGTCTCTCATCTTTTGCTAGATAGCATCGAAACTATGACAGATTTAGGATATTTTTGTTCTCTCTAGATACCTTACAATGATACAGATTGGGGGGAAAATAGATTTTACTGTGTAGATGAATTTTTAAAAGACTTTTTATTCTACAAAGCACACTTATAAAAATCTTTATATACATATTTTTATGATTTTCAGAATATGTAATATTTCTATAATGGATATAATTTTTGTCCTCTTAATTCAGCTCCAATAATTCATTCAGATGATTTTATAGCAGATTTTTTAGTATAATAATATTAGTGCCATTTATTTATTTTTTCATTACAAAGCACATTTTTTTAATGCATTAGTTCTTCCAAGCTTTGGAGCAGTAATTATAAGAGCCATTTTATGTGCCGCTATTAAAAATCCCTCAAGTACTTACAAACAGACAGTGAAATTGCTTTAGGGGAATATTTATACCACCTGGAAGGATTTTAAAGCTAAACACGTTTAAAGATTAACATGCTGGGAACATTGAAAGCATTTTACACCTATCTATAACACAAAAATACAAACTCTACAATAGAATATATGCGATCTAAATATTTAAATACCTATATATTCTGTAAGTGTAATGACCTTTTAAAAAATTCTCGTAATAATGATGAATTTCAAGAATGCATCCAAAGTAATCAACTGAACATCTTCACTGAGTTAAATAAACAGTGCTTACAGACAGACAGTAAAAAAGTATGAGGTCAAACTGGGTCAGATGTACAGATATATTATTTCCCCATACTCTTTTCTTCTTTTCTTTTCTTTCTTTATTTTTTGTACTGTAAATTTAAACCTTTAAAAAAAGGGGGATGCAATAGAGAACTTTCTTTGAAGGGGTAAAAGCAAGCCTCGGGTACACGGAAACAGAGTTACTCCTGATAAAAGTTTTCAGTGTTATATATCAATGTTTTTCAATTTTCGTGGTTCTGAGATACACAGTGCACTTAATCGGCACAATCTATAGCTCTCTCTTAACCCTGCACTGGCCTCACCCCTTGTGACATTTAGATCTTATTCTGTATATGCAATAAAAGAGGCTATAATTCTCCAGTCCTCAGCACATAAGGACCCCAAAGGCTTCCATGATATTACCACAAAATACAGTAGCACACCAATGCAATGCTTTCTAAATGAAAACTTCGAGGTTTCAAAATTCATTTTACTACATTATATTTCTTTCAAGGTCTATGCCAAAGTTATCCACGTTAATGTCAAATAAAAGACCACCACATTTGGGTTAATAAGTTTTTGGGGTATTGGGAATTCTTCCCAGAAGTGATCAATATGCAGTCAGAATGTCTACAAGCTCCAAATGGGAAATATCATCCAACACCCCCAGAAAGAGATTTGACTCACTCCTTAATAAAAATCTGAGGAAAAATAGCTAGTTAACTTCAATCTGATCCCACTCTGTCAAGAGTATTGAATCAGATATAGTTATACAGTTTACAGTGTACTGAGTAAATAAATATATCAATTTAGTGAAAAATCATTAAGCAACAAATTTATTTGTATTTGTCCGAGGTAAAAACTAACACTGCAGGTAATGACCTTACTTGATACACAGTCAATGACTTCAGGTATATCTTAAATCTGGACAAAAAATATCAAGCCTTATCAAAAGTATGAAAGCAAAAAAAAAAAAACAGAAGTTTGAAATGCCTGTTAGAACACATTACCTGTACAAAGGCCGCCGCAGAAAGAGCTAGCAGTATGAGGACTCGGAAACTGGTGGGGGTAAATCTCAGAAAATGAAAGCCACAGTACGAGCAATAGGCAGGCTCTTCTTCGAGATCGTAATCCTTTCCCTGCGAAGACTTTTTCCTCGAGAAGTCAAATCCACCCTCCATGTCGTCAGATACCTCTGTGTACATATCAGACACTTTAGTTTTATTGTAATCTTCTGTATTACCAAACACACCTGAGATATTGCCGCCTGTAGTCGAGTCTAACGTAGAGCTGTAAGATTTACCTTGGTATGACCCCTCCAGCCCCTCCCCGGGGCCTGACTCTGGCAGTATGTACATCTCTATGCTGTCCACATCTCCAGAAAGGCACCGTTTTAAATTCTTACTCATCTTCTCCCAGCAATATAACACCACTCATAAAAATATAAATCATTGATACTGTGCACTAATACAGTGCAACCTTTCCATGAACCTCACTCTTTTCCCTGCTATATATTTTTCTTCACATGGTGATGGGCAAGTGGTTTTTGCAACGTCCTAAAGATACAGGAAGTTGGGTGATCCTTCGTAGGACTAAGCCGAGTGTAACCAGGAAAATTTTCATGTAACGGTGAAAATAACGTGTCGGTGAATGCAGTGCAAAGTACCTATATCCTGATCCAGGGTGTCATCATTAATGGTGACTACTAAATGATACGCTTATCATGTACGCCGGCCACTGAGCATATATTATATTGTCTGACCACGCCTGTGTTCTGGCATCAACGGTCACCTTTTTTTATTCTGATCTCTTATGGAAATGAATCTCTCAATGTAATGAAATAAACTCGTCAATATGGCAATATAATCTGTACAAATCTTCCCAACTCGTCAAACTCATTCAGTAAATTACAAATAATGCACAAAACCAATTCCCTCGTCAGCCATCTGAGTCAGTAATACAATATGCAGGCACGTAACAGTTATATATTTTCATCCACTCGATTTACCAAAGGATGACTTATAAAACAGCCAATATCATTTGTTCAAATCAGCACAATATTGTTTGTCAAAAGAGCAGTTATATAGCATATGACGTAAAATGCGACTTCACACAACACACTTCCTTTATAATATTGAATTTCTTCCTTTTCCAATTGTGTCCGCAAAAAAATGGACCACTATCCATGAAATTAGCAATTTTGCACCAGTAATATGACAAAAACGCTCAGAATCCCAAAAGACATAACTATGAAGTCTACAATAAATTGCTTTCAGTCCAAGATGGCCAAACCTCCGAAAGATTTAGTATGGTGATGGATTTACATCAAGCTTCAATAAATCAACGAAATATTCGGAGTCCTCTGGTATATCACACAAAAACTAAATCCCTTAGATATTTACAGATCCCTACAATGTCACTGCTCTCTTAATGTTTCCTTTTCACATTACTCTCTCCTCAAATAGGTCTTTTGTTAAGATTCAATAAAGATATATGCAACACCCTTATTAAGTGAATGTCTATTTATTCAGTGGCTTTAAAGATACATATTGTACTTATTTAAAATCCTTACTATTTGTGTAATCTTATTCCCACTAAGTTATTTACTACACTCTATACAATTAGGATACTAATTTCATTACAACTTTCTTCTGTTGAAAAGCAGGATGTAAAATGACTGCCCTTTAAAGTGCATCATTTCATTATTAATCTTCATTAACAAATGGCTTAATTCATTTGTATAAAATTTCCTACTTTTCTGTTTTTTATAATTCTCGGTGACTCTAAATACAGTAAAATTCACATATTTTCGAGGGGGTAAAATTTTCGTGGTTTGAGAAAAATATATTGGTTCATGAGGATTTGATTTCGTGGTTGATAAATTGTTCAGTAGTATAAATATATGTATAAAATTGCATTTTGTTGTGGACATAAATTCGTGGATCTCTTCATACCTCACAAACCACGAAAATTAAATCCCCACGAAAATTAGTGATTTCACAGCATTGGAACAAGATGAAATATATTTATGCATGCACCACGTTTCCATCAAATTATTTTAAAGAATTTAGGGTACATAGAACAAGGTTTGAAGAGTAATTACCATATGAACAGTTGCACAGAGCAAAATAAAGACCATACTTAGAGAACAGCCAAACTGCACTCTTTAAATACAGTGCCAACTTTTCCATTGTCTTGACTATTGTTGAATACTTTGTGAAAAATGACAATTTTTGGGTTGACAGAGCATTTCTTTTGATTATACCTGACAGTTTCCTTTCTTAACTGAATGTGAAGCATGATTTCCATACAGATATAAATTAAGCTGCATATCACTGCAGTAAAACATGTTTTTACTGAAGTGCTAGGAACATTTTTATGCAACATCTTTATACTCAGTTATGTAAATAATTTGTCTGAAACCTAAAGGAAATGAAAATTACTTCTCTGTTTATTTATTTATAATGTTGACGGTCTTTCTGGGTTTTAATAAACTTTTGAGTTTCTTTTTTTTATGTGTATCATTTCAATTTTTTAAAAATCTGAATAAATTCATTTAAGTATATACGGATCCCCCTATAGGAGACATGCATGCTATACTCGTACATATGTGATCTTCTTTGGAGGAGTTTATTTTTGTGTTTTTGTAGTAAGTGTTTAATACAGCGTTAAAATACACAAGTACCTGTCAGAAAACCATACAGGCAAATAACTCCCAACAAAACAAAAAAAACAACAACTTTCACAATGATGACAAGTAAAAACTCAGCTGTGAAAGAAGGGATGATCAGATTATCTTAAAGGAAACTATGTTTGCTCAGCAAACAGCACAAAAATTAAATGCAGAAAGCATCAGTGAACAGGGTTAAAGGCTGAGAAAACATCAATACAGAGCCATCTTTCACGGTAAATTTAATACACCCCCTTATGATGTATGGTACACCGATAACTGACCAATCAGTGCGGATCATTACCCTAATACCTTCTATCAGTCAATGGAAAAATAAATTCTAAACTGAGAAAAATATGCTAATAAAATGAATCTATGAATGCACACTAGAAATGTGCAAACATTAGGGACCATTTGGACTCCAGTTCAACAAAGGTTATTTTGGGGTGGATGATTTATGGGCAATTTATACTACCTGAGTTTTCAACATGATAAGCTTTACAGGTCTACATAAGGCGTAATAAAATTTACTTTGCCTTATAATATAATGTTTACAAAAAAAAGCATTGTGATTAATTCTTATGCTGATCGCAACAACTAAACATTCCTTTTTTCGGTGCTTGAGTAGATAATTAACACTTGTTGAATCATCTTATACCTGTACTTTATGAAAACTTAAATTTTTAATTCTAGTTTTCTCTACTTCATTAATCAACCCAAACCACTTCCATACCCAATTTCTGAACAAATTACTCCTATCTCTTATGTTATGGTGTGAGTAATGTGTTTAAGTATCCCCTCCTCTTTCCTCCTCAAGAAAATAATCAGACTGTCTGTACTCCCCATTTACTAACACCTGTCCAATACAGATGGTAAAATAACAAACTACAACCCTCCCCTCCTATTTCCTTTCTGATTTAAAAATATATATAACCCTCATTCACAGGTACAATTAATTATTTGTAAAGTTACCAGCTTACACCTAGACAGAATGTCACACCTGTAATTAACTCACCTGTATAGCCCCAGCCCAGCACAGAAACACCAGGACCCAGGTGGGGTGTCGGAACCTCCTAAGGGCCACGTGGCGGCACCCCAGCCACCCACAGGCTTCCTCCTCCGTCTCGCCTGACCCAGGCTCCATATTGTTAAAGGGACTTAAGTAGACCTTCTCGTCTGGTGTGTTTACGTTGGAGGCATTAGGCATGTAAGAATACTGTGTAGAGTCACTCAGGTGTGACTTCTCCTCTCTCGTCATCTACAATCAATAGTGTGACAGAAATATCAAACCGTAACCACTGATTTATTGCTCCTAATCTGCCCTCCTTAACTCTATAGGAAGAAAAAATCAAAATGCGGTTACAAGACTGATCAATATTGTGCACTTAGAACAGACTTAAACACTGATCAGGATAAAAGTTGTTTTACAGACAAATAAAGTCATTA